AAGGCCTCGAAATGTTCTTAAGGGATACCGTGGGGAAAATCCAGCGGTGGAATATCCAGGGATTTTCTGCTCCATATAGCCTACCTTGCTCCCGGAGACTGTCGATATCTCAAAAAATACTCCCGGCGGAGGGCGGCGGGGCGGAGGGGTGTGCAGCGGTGGTCTGTCGCGAGAGCGAGGGCTGCGAGAGCACCGTCTTCCGCTCGCTGTTCCAGCGGTGGCACTGGGCGCGCGAGGCGAGTCTCGAGTGGGCTGTCGGCTCCCCGGCGGGGGGGCGGAGGGACGCGGAGGCGCGCGCGGCGCCCTCCTTGGAGGAGGAGATTGCGCGGATGCGAGAGCAGCGCGGCATGACGCGCGAGCAGGAGCCGGCTGAAGGGCCCGCTCCGGCGCCGCCCGTCGCCGTCGGCAGGAGCCGTTCTGGCGGGGCCCGGGCGGCGGTGGACCCGGGTTCAGAGATGGCACAACGTGTGGTACCCCACCCAGCCCGGTACCCAGAACCCAGCTGCGTGGAATAGGCTCGGAGATGCTGAACGTGTGGCTGCTGTCGGAGGGCCCCCCCGCGCTGCTCCCGGACAGCGAGCTGGGCATCTTCTTCTCGGGGAGCGCCTTCATGGTGCTCTACTCTTGCTCGCGTGGCGGCGTGCCGCACTCGTCGCTCCACTTCTGGCGCGGCAGCGGCGCGCGGCAGTACCCTACCAACCCCGGTGCCCAAATCCAACTACACGAGCTAGGCGCGGCAGCGGCGTCCCCATCCGCCGCTTCCTCACCTGGCGCTTCCGGCTGCAGCCGCTGCTGCTGCAGCTCGGGCCGGCGGTTGTTCCGGAGATTCTCGAGGTATGGGGAGATCTGGGGAGATATGGGGAGATTCTCGAGGGGGGGGGCGAGCTGGAGACGCTCTCGGCGTGAACGGCGTCTCTTCACACCTCTCGCTGCGAACAGGAGGGCGACGAGCCGCCCAGCTTCGTCGAGCTCCTTGAGGGGCTGATCGTGCTGTCGGGCAGCCACCCCGGCGCGGGCTGCGTGGAGGAGGAGGACTACGCGCCCTTTGGGCAGGAGGAGTCGGCCGCAGACGACGACTCGCCCGCAGGCGGCGAGCCCGCGCGCGAGCACACCGGCGCTGCGGCGGCCTCCTCGCTCTCCGCGCTGCGCGGGTCGGTGCTGCTCCAGATCAAGCGGCGCGGCGGCAAGGCGGCGGCGACGGCGGCGACGGCGGCGGCGGCGGCGGCGGCGGCGGCGGCGGCGGTCTGCTGCGCGCGGCAGGTGCGTCCTAACCCCACATCTCCCCAGACCTCCCCACATCTCCCCACATCTCCCCACATCTCGCGGCAGGTGCGACCTAGCCCCGAATACCTCGACTCGGCGGACGTGTTTTTGCTCGTCGACGCGGCGGAGGCGACTAGAAGAAGCAGACGGCGCACTCTTGTCTCCCAACTAGCGCGCGAGAGGAGGCGTGCTCTGGGATCAGCCGCCCTCGGCTGTGCTCAGCTGTGTCTGCAGCAGTCTCGCACCCACGCGGTGCTCCGAATGCACGGCACACTCCCGCCCTTCCGCCCCGAGGTTGGCGTACCCCACTCCGCAGGCCGAGGCGGCGCTCTTTCAGTGGGAGGGCTCGCACAGCTCGCCAGAAGTGCGCGCCGCCGCGGCCGCCGTCGCGGAGCGATTCGCGGGCGCGCTTTCGGGCCGCGTGGAGGTGGTGGCGGAGGCGTCCGAGCCGGCCGAGTTTTGGCAGTCCTTGCTCGTCGGGGTTGGGCGGACATGTGCTTGTGACACGTCCGCGACACGTCCGCGAACGCACGTCTGCAGGCAGTCGCTGCTCGGCTTGGGCCGCGCGTCGCCGCTGCCCGAGGAGAAGGAGAGGGAGATCGCGCGGTCCGCCGAGATGCGGTCGCTGCAGGCGGGCCGCCGGCATGCGGCGGGGCAGCCCGTCCATGACACGTCCATGCACATGTCCGAGACGCGCCCTACAGGTCGCTCGAGCAGAGGCGGAGGCGGAGAGGATGACCACGGCACGTCCACGACATGTGCGAGACGCACCGTCCCGCAGGCGGGCCACCGGCCGTCGATGTGGCGGGTGTGGGCGCGCGGCCGCGGCTTCGAGCGCGTGCAGTGGCTGCACGGCCCGTGCGGCCGGCCGGAGCAGTGGATGCTGCAGCCCGAGGCGGTCTGCCTGGTCGACGGCGGCGCCTGCACCTTCGTGTGGGTCGGCGAGACCTCTCCTGGACCTCTCCCGGACCTTTCCTGGACAGTTCCTAGGCGCCTGCACATTCGTGTGGGTCGGCGAGACCTCTCCTGGACCTCTCCCGGACCTTTCCTGGACCTTTCCTAGGCGCCTGCACATTCGTGTGGGTCGGGCGCGACGCGTCGGAGGAGGACGAGGCGCTCGCCACCGCGCTCGCCTCCCGGTGCGGCTCGTCCCCTACCCCCCACGGCACCCGAACCCACCCTCCCCCTACCCCACGGTACCCGAACCCACCCTCCCCCTGCTCCACGGCACCCGAACCCACCCTCCCCCTCCCCCACGGCACCCGAACCCACCCTCCCCCTACCCCACGGTACCCGAACCCACCCAGGTACGGCCAGACCTTCGAGCCGGCGACGCGGCGGAGCGCGGTCCCCGCGGGCTCGGACGAAGTAGTGAGCTCGGCGAGGGAGGAGCCGTTAGGCGATGCAGCTGAGCCACGCCCTTGCGGGTTCAGAGCCGGACGAGCTGCGGCGGTGGGTTCACCTAGAAGCGGAAGACGTGTTCGTGTACCCCATATCTCCCCGTACCTCCCCGTATCTCCCCATGTCTCGGGTCCTAGAAGCGGAATACATGTTCTTGTACCCCAGCCAGCACTCGAGAGGACGCGTACTCCGCGGCATTCGACCGCATTCCGCTGTCTTCGGCTGTGTTCGCACCCCTCGTCTCCACGCGGTGCTCTGAGCAGACTGCACAATACCTCACGCCTCCACGTGCGCGTGCTCTCTACGCAAGGCTCTTTCACGGCTGGACGGTGGCACGCGGGCGCGACGACACGCGGCAGCTCGACGACCTCGAGGATGCGCGCGACGCGCTGCAGCAGGGCTCCGGCCTGATTGGGCGCGCCCCGCGCTGCACGGGGGCGCGTGCCAGGCCGCGGCGTCGAGAGAGAATGACTCGCTTGCTTGTTCCGCGGTCCTCAGGCGCGTGCTGCGCGAGGGCGCGTGGCCCGCGTCGCGCGGCGGCGCCGCCTCGCAGCGGGGCGCCGCCTCGCAGCGGGGCGCGGCCGACGCGGAGCTGCCTGCCGGAGGGCTCGTCCTGTACACTACGACGTGCGGCGCGCTCTACGCGGCGTGCGCCCGCTCACGACGCGCGCGGCTGCTGCTGCAGGCGCGGGTCGGCGCCGAGCGGGGTTCGGAAGCCCGCCGCCGCTGATCAGTGAGCCCGACACTCTCGCCGTCCCCACTCTCCAGGCGATCGGCGTCGCCTTTTCCGAGGTGGACCTCGCCCGCGAAGGGCCGCGCGGCGTGCACGCGCTGCGGCGGCTGCTGGCGGCGGCGGGCGCGAGCGGGTCGCTGAGCAAGCTGCTGCCGGTGGCGGTGCTCGACGGGCGGGTGCTGGGCGAGGCCGGCGAGCCGGGTGGCGGCGCGCGCAACCTGATCGATCTGCACGACGGCGGCGAGCTGCGGCCGCTGCTGCGCGACTTGCCCTCGCCGAGGCCCGAGCCACGCACCCTGACCCGAACCATACCCCGAACCCCAACCCCCCCGGCCCTAGCCCTAACCTTGCCACCCCAACCCGAACCACAGCCCGAACCAGAACCCCCCCGGCCCTAGCCCCAACCCCTAACCTAACCCGAACCACCGCCCGAACCTACCCCGGCGCCTAGCCCCAACCCCTAACCTAACCCGAACCACCGCCCGAACCTACCCCGGCGCCTAGCCCCAACCCCTAACCTAACCCTAGGCCCGAGCCGCAGCTGTCCGGCGCGGTGAGCGTGCGGGACCTGCCGCCGGACGAGTGCTTGCACGCGGGCTGGCTGCGCAAGGAGGGCGACCTCTTCACGCCCAGGAAGCGGCGGTGGGCCGTCGTGCAGCCGCGGCAGCTGCTGCTCTTCAAGTCGCCGCTGCCCGTCGAGAAGGCGGAGCTCATCGTCGAGCTCGGCCGCTCGTCGACCCGGACGCTGCCCGGCTACCACTTCGAGGTGACCACGCCGCAGCACACCCACCTCTTCCGCGTCGACTGGCCGAGCACGGCGCCGGAGGAGGGCGGCGCGGGCGGCCAGGAGGCGGCGGGAGGCGGCGGCGGCGGCGCGGCAGACGAGCCAGCGAGGAGCGAGGGCGTGGATTTGGCGAAGTGGGTGGCTGCGCTGCAGCGGGCGAGGTCCTATAGCTAGCTAAGTAGAATGTTTTGTCCATTGATTTCAAAACAGATTAGAGACGCGGAGGCGTGGAAACACCAGTTGGGTGGCGCGCGACCCCACAGCACACACATATGTGCGTATCTCCCCCGTACACCAAGCCTTACCGAGATACTCCTCTCAAAAAGATTGTTTCCGCAGCCTCGAGTCCGCACCATCACCAGGCTGCGGCGCTGCGCAGGCCGCAGCCAGCCCCGCCGCAGCTCGAGAACGGCAAGCTGCATGTCGAAATGAATTTTTCGCGAGGGGGTCCCCTTTAGAGAAATGGGGATTCGGCCATTTGTTGAGTGCGAGGACTCTGAGTCTGAGATTTCAAAGAGAATTTCACAACACAAACAGACAAAACACCCTCCGCTCTCTCACAGACTGCAACACCCATATACAACCTCCACACAAACCCGAGAGGCGAGACGGTGATGGGAAGCGTCTCGTACTCTACGGTGGTCTCAGGCCAGAGGCCACAGGCCCAGTGAGGTAGTGCATCTAACTGTGTATGCTATCCCGGATCCTGCGGATGGCCTCACTCAAGTAAGTCGCGATGAACCACTGCTTGAGACCTTGGCTGATGACCCGCCGTTATTTCGATGCAGGCCAGGCACCGGGCACCGCCTCAGATCACATCGACGGGTAGCTCAACATGAAAACGCCAAGGGCGGAACACACCAGTGAGGGAGGGCGAGACGATCGAGGGGTCCCGTACCACGCGGAATCGGCCCTATCCAGTGCTCAAGTGCTCAAGGGCGGGTATCGATGGACCCGCCGTGCGGATGAACGGCCGAGTGCGGCCGACGGAGGCGAGAGAGTCCAGAGAAAGAGCCCCTCGCGTCGATGCAGACTGATGGCGACTCGCCCGTCACTGTGGTGGAGGCTGACGGCGAACCGCCCGCCACTGTGGTGGAGGTCCTCGCTGTCGAGGAGGAGCTCACACCGGCAGGCATTGTGGAAGAGCTCGCACCGGCAGTCGCCGTGGATGTGCTCGGCAGCAGCGAGGCCGTATCGGCAGCCACGAGCGACGCTTGCGTGTGCTCCGAGTGCAACAAGGTGCACCCGCAGTCTAACTTTTCGAGAAACCAGTGGAGGAAGCCGGTGGAACAGAGGCGGTGCAAGGCCTGTGTTGAGGAATCCTTGCCAAAGCCGAAACCCAGTAAGGTCGAAGTGCAACGCATGGCTCGCGAGGAGGAAGCGAGGAGGAAGCTAGAGGACAGTCAGGACTGCCAGGAGCTGGAGAGCGGATGCTACTCGGTGCCACCGCCGTGCTGCTGCCTCGTATGCTTTTGGTTGCAATTCGACGAGAGCAAAACCCGATTCATCCTAGGCCCAGGGAACCAATGCATCTTCCCCTGGCCCTTTCCTTGCTGTATCTACAGGTACGTTCGGCCAGCCGCGAGGCACCTGCCGGCAGGTGCTGTGCGGAGTTTTCCGCTGGAGTTTTCCGCTGGCCCGTTCGGCGAAGATTGTTGCGGCAGAGTCTATGATGATGGTTGCTGCGGTCCACTCACATGCGACGATGCATGGCTCTGCGGCGGTTTTTGCCCATATATTTGCAATTTCACAGATAAGTTCATCTTCCGCTCCAACACCACCTTCTCAAGAACCATACCGGCCTCGAGTCGGTCGGCCTTGGATTCCGAAAGGGAAGCCGCACTTCGTAGGTCGGCCGAACTACGTTGGCAAAACTTCCGCGAAGGTGGAGATCTGAACATTCAGATCCACACCGCGGAAACTCAACAAAGTTACGCCAAGTGGTCGATGAAATGGCCGCCCTACGATGGTCCCGCCTTTGCATGTATTTGATGTGCATTGCTGCATTCCACATGCCGAGACGCGAAACAATGGAGATCGAATGAGCGCTTAATTGCGTGTCGACTTGACTAGAAAGGGAGGGGGGTGATTTTGGGTGTGTTGTCAGGTGAAGAGAAAAAGGAATCCCGTGGGGAGATTCCCAATAACTAACGTGCGCAGTGGCATTGCGGCGGAGCGCGAGGACAGGCGGCGTCGATCGGATCGCGTCGCGCCGGCGGGGGTGGTGACCAGGTGACCGAGCGGGCAATGGCTCCGCTGGCCGGCGCGGGGTCGCGCCAGCGGGGAACAGGTAAGTCAGGCGGCATCGACGATGAACGGTCACGAAACCCCCCCCCCCCCACTGAAAGACCCCCGGTCAGTTGACGACCCCCTCCCAGACGAAAATTCAAAAAATCAGAAATCAAAAATGAAAAAGTTAGCTGGCTCGCGCGTGCAGCTTTTGTGCAACCCCCCCCCCCCGCCCCCCCCCCCCCCAAACCCAAAGCCAGCCCGGGCCCGAAATAGCTTCACACACTGTGTGCGGGGTCATTTTTCGGCTATCTCCCGTCAAAAACTGCAACGCGGGCCCCGTTTGCGCCCCCACTTGCGCCGCGCCCCCGCGCCCCCGCCGCCCGCCACACGGCCCGGGCGAGCGGCGCAACGCTTGGGCGTTGTCGGTGGAGTGCTCGCCCACAGCCCCGACCCGCCCCCCACCCTCAGGCCGCCCTCGTATGGCCAAGGCGAGCACACACGCACCGGGGGGCGAGAGAGCGGGGCTGTTGCGGATGGAGGTCGCGTTGTTTCGACTGTGTGCTGCGGTCTGACTGTGTGTGTTTTCCTGTGAAGATCGTACGGCTCTCTCTCTAGTGTCTCTAGACATGAGAGCTACACATGTACGGCTTTACAGAGCTCTGTGCGCGTATGTGTTAAAAAAGAACACACACACACACACACACGCGCGCGCACAGTCCGCGCGGCCTGTGTGTGGAGATGCATCTGCGCTGCACCCGCGGCGCGCGCATCGTTCACGTAGTATCGTCACCCTCGGGACGGCAGACACAACAGTCACAGTCAAAGGGGTGGACTCGCATGATCTTTGGCGCCCCTCCGGGGATGGTGGGCGCCCCACTCCCCTTCGAGATTTGTCGGTACACAAATGTGACAATTGTGTCCACCGGAAATCGCAGCTGCAGGTCCTCGAGGAGCGTCCGCTGCTTCAGAGCCTCGGGCGACGGCCGCTCGACGCTCAGCTCAAACTCGATGGACGGGCTGGCGTTCGGCGCGTTGAGCGCGCGCACCAGCACGGTCGGCAAGTTGCCGGTGGTGTGCGCGTTTTTGTGGCCCACGATCACAGCCTCAGCGTCGAGCCACTGCTTTACCTTGAGCACGTTGCGGCCTGCCAAGGCGGGAGGCTGCGCGGGTATGCGAGGAGAAGAGGACGGCGAGAGAAGGAGTGGGAGAGAGGAGAAGAGGGCGAGAGGAAGAGAGAAGAGGGGGGGAGAGACGGCAAGAGGGGATTCGGTGCTGCGCGCCATGGCGGCCCGCACGCCACCAGGCCTCGTCGCGCCGCAGCACGAGCCCCTCGCCGCGTTTGGCAATCACGCGCTGCAGCAGCGCGTCCTTGGCCGTCGCGTCCGCCACTCGCACTGCCGGCGCAACGACGATGCGCCCGTCCGGCGGCCCAACGGCGGCGAGCGCGCGGCGTGCCGCCTCCAGCCGCTGCATGTAGGGCCCGGCCACTTGCGGTGCGTCAAAGACGACGTACGTTAGGCTGTGCCAGGCCATCTCGTGCAAACGCCTCCCCAACCCCTTGGTGCCCTGCAGAGACCCGACCGCGGAGAACCGGCACCGGCCCGCCCACAGCTCGCCGTCGAGGTGCTCCTCCGGCAGCAGCGCTTTGAAGGAGTCCGGGGGCTGAAAATGGCCCTGGCCGTTGCGACCGGTGAAGCCACGCTTGTGACCTTCCCATCGCATGCGCACACCGTCGAACTTCTCGGTGGCTATCCACACTTCCTCTGCGAGCCGCTCGTCGTCCTCCTCCTTCTCGTAGGTCTCTGCCAGCAGGCAGCGGTGCTTTGACGCGTTCATCTCGCGTGGGCCCCAACTCTGCTGGTGCTGGTGCGTCCGCGCTGCCTTGCCCTTCTTGGCCTTGGCCCTCGCCTCCTCCTTTGCGCGCTTGAGCTCCGGCGGTGGCGACGGCGGGTCGCGGACAAAGAAGGCGTCGGACGCGGGCGGTTCGCTGAGCGCACTCGGCCCTGCGAGGCCCTGCGCCGCCGCCGGCCCTCCGCCGCCGCCTCCGACCCATTGGCAAAGGTTGCAACTCGGGCGCGTCGGACTCGCCCCACCTGGCTCGGGTCCCACAGACGCCTCGGGCGAGGCGGGCTCGCGCGCCGCAGCCACCTACGGACGTGCCGTGGACGCGTCACGACATAGTCGAGAACTGAAGCAGACACCCTTTCGGGCAACCGTCACCGCGCTGGGGTGCAAGTTCTTGCGCAGCACGTCGGTCCGCGACCCGTCGGCGGAGAGGACCTTGGAGCACTGCCCGACCCAGTCCTTCGTCACGAGGCGCGGCCACTCGGCCTCCGGCAGCGCGGCCAGGCACGCCAGCTCGGAGGGGCGGCGGTCCGACTCGAGCGCCAAGTGCGTCGCCTCGCGCACGTCGCTTACGACCTCTCCGCCGCCGCGCCGCACCACCTCCTCCTGCAGCTCGCGCAGCTTGTCGCCGAGCCGCGCCGCCAGCAGCAGCCGCACGCCGCGGAAGATGGTCTCTTTCGCGCGCCGCTCCTCCGAGCCCCACTCTGGCTCCGGCTCTGCCGCCGCCTCCGCCTCTGCCGCCTCCACCTCCGCCTCCTCCATCGCCGCCGCGTCCGCCGCCGCCGCCTCTGCCGCCTCCGCCTTCGCCGTCGCCGTCGCGTCCGCCGCCGCCGCCGCCGCCGCCTCTGCCTCCGCTTCCTCCGAGTTCTCCGCCGCTGCCGTCGCCGCCACCGTCGCCGCCACCGCCCACGACTGCGCCGCCGCAGCGGGCTTCTCCGTCTCAGCCGCCGCCGCGTCGCCGCCGCCTCTGGACCAGAGCACAAGCGCTCCGCCTCGCTGCGGCTCTGCGGAAGGCGCAGCGGAGGCTCCGGCAGGAGCGGCAACGCAGTCGCCCGCTCGCTCAAGGCGCAGCGACCAGCCGCACCAGCCGTTGAGCTTCCTCTCCTCGCAGGCCGCGCGTGCACTGGCAGCGTTCGGCACGCTCACGAAGAGGAGCGGCGCGTCGGGCGCCTCGCCTGTGAGGCTGTACGGCGCGTTGCCTGCGCACGGCTCGACGAGCGTCCGCCGGTCGTGCTCGAGGCGTTTGCCGTTTAGCCATGTCGAATTCAGCGCGGAGAGGTGAGTCGCGTACACGCTGCCGTCGCCCTCTCGCTCGAGCCGGATGTGGTGCCTCGAAAGATGCGGGTTGGACGGCGCTCGCACGTCGCCTCCTTTGCCAATGACGACTGTCGGGCGGGAGAGCGGCACGGGACGGCGGCCGTGCATGGAGTTGTGCGGGACGAGCGAGCCCCAGTGCTCGGGCTGGCGGTCGCGCTTTGGCATCTGGCGCTCGGGCTCTGCGGACAGCTAGCTCGGAAGAGTGCAACAGTGGAGCGGCGAGGGCAGCTGGGCGGTGGCAGGCTGGGGCGGCGAGTGCCGAGCAGAATTTCTTTTGGATCGTCCCTTTTCTTTGGCACCATCGGCACACCTTTATCCGCGCCCTTGTCGTGCCAGTGTGCTGTGAGAGAGGCTTGTAAAATTCTTTTCCTTGCGATGTCCACCCCGCCGCGCCGCCGCTCGCGCCGCCTCGCCTCCTCCTCCACCGCCGCCCCCTCGCCAGACACGCCGCCGCCCACCCGCCTCCTCGACCTCCCCACGGAGCTCCTCGTGCGCGCCATCTCCCGCTGCAACCCTCCCGACATCGCTCGCGTCGCGGCCGTCTCGCTGCTCTTCCACGCCTCACTTGCGCTGGAGGGCATCCGCTTGTGGGCGCAAGAGCGCGCCTTCGAGCTGCCGGCGCTGCCCGAGGGCGAGAGCTGCGCCGTGCGTTGGCTGTGCTATTCGGCGCTGCTGTGCGAGTCCAACCCGCCGGCGAGGGCGGCCGCAGGCTGTTGGCACAGCCTCTTCATCGACGGCGAGGGGCGGCTCTCGTCGTGCGGCTCTGCGCCGGATCACGCCGCAGGCCTCCTTGGCCACGGCGAGGGCGTGACGCGGCTCAACACGCCGACCCGCCTCCCCTCCACGCTGGGCGGTGAGCGCGCCGTGAGCGTGTCGGCTGGAGGATTCCAGTGTCTCGCCCTCACCAGCAGCGGCGCTGTTTGGAGCTGGGGCCAGGGAGGCTCGGGCGCGCTGGGCCACGGCGACCATGAGGTTCAGTGGCAGCCGACGAAGATCGAGGCCTTGGCGGGCCAGCGCGTCGTCGCTGTCTCTTCTGGACGCGAGCACAGCCTCGCCCTCACCGGTGACGGAGACGTCTGGAGCTGGGGCCATGGAGGGCGAGGCCGGTTGGGCCACGGCAACCAGCACATCCAGCTGCTGCCGAAGGAGATCGAGACCTTCGCAGGGCAGCGGGCCATCGCACTCTCGGCTGGAACGCGCCACAGCCTCGCCCTCACCGCCGACGGCGCCGTCTGGAGCTGGGGCCTTGGCGAAGACAGCCAGCTGGGCCACGGCGACACGCAGCTACATCTGCTGCCAAAGAAGATCGCGACCTTGGCTGACCAGCGTGTCGTCGCTGTGTCGGCTGGAGAGGTGCACAACCTCGCCCTCACCACCGACGGCAGCGTTTGGAGCTGGGGCGATGGAGCCTTTGGCAGGCTTGGCCACGGCGACACGCAGGACCAGCCGCTGCCCAAGAAGGTCGAGGCTTTTGCTGACCAGCGCGTCGTCGCTGTGTCGGCGGGATACTTCCACAGCCTCGCCATCACCGCCGACGGAGCCGTCTGGAGCTGGGGCAATGGAGGCTGGGGCCAGCTGGGCCACGGCGACGAGCAGCAGAACCAGTTGCTGCCCAAGAAGATCGAGGCCTTTGCTACCCAGCGCGTCATCGCCGTGTCGGCTGGAGGCTGCCACAGCCTCGCGCTCACCGCCGACGGCGCCTTCTTCTCGTGGGGTCAGGGCCGCCACGGCTGCCTAGGCCACGGAGAGGACCTGTCGAACCAGCTGCTGCCCAAGAAGGTCGAGGCGTGGGCGCCGGGGTAGTGAGCAGGGAGGCGAGGAGCGCAGGAGCCGAGGTTACTGACGTTGCTGCTGTTACACCTAGCGGTCCACATCACGGGTACGGGCACTCCCCCTCAAACTCCACCGTGCTAGTACGACGCGACAGTGTATACTTCCAACAACAGTCGACCGCCGACCGGCCCTCTCCGACTCCCCCCCCAGCCCCACGGCCACGCGCGGGCCTGCGTATTCTTGATTCGCACAAGCCAAGGCGATCGTTCTAATGTGAACGTACCGTACAAAAAACTCGTCTTGGACGGGGCTAAACTCCAATTACCTTTCGGGCCACACGACACGAGGCCCCCCGTATCTACAGTTCCGCAGGCGCCTACAGTTTCGCCTACTCATCATTCCCCGAGATGACCCGAGATTGGCCGAGATGACCCGAGATTACTGAGGCTGTGTCAGCTGCGAAGGCTGGCGACTGGAGCAAGTTGGAGGAACCGGAGGTGCGAAAGCAAGCGGACGCATACCGGCTCTACCTGGTCGAGTACCCGAAAGTGCTTGCAGGGCGGGAAAGCCTCAGCACGCCTCATCCACCATTGATAAGTATGCCTGGCAAGGGAATTGCCCCAAACCTTGTCTTTGTTCTGTGCGCTGTCTCATTTGTGGCGGCACCTAGGCTCTGAGTGTAGTGTGGAGTGGGGGTAGGGGAGGTGAGGTCATGTGTGGTTAATGACAGACCGGAATGGTCGGGATGACCGGGCGGGATGGCCGGGATGTCCGTTCTACTTCTGATTTCTTTCTTCGCTTTATTCATAAGGAGTGATTAGCCCAAGAGTCCCGCTTTATTCATAAGGAGTGCGGTGTTTGGAATATATACTCGTACTAAGATTTGGCTAGGGCTGCAGAAGCAGCGCATCTCAGTCGTTCTTAACACAGAGTTACTACACACGACCACAGAGACGTGTATGCGTCACGCATACAGTTCAGCGGATTGGAATCGCGCTCCGGTTGTGGCAAGCCAGTCCACGAACAGTTAGACGTTGGACCTGCGGCCGGTGGCCGCAGGGTGCCGGCGGCGGCGCTGAGCTAGCTAGCTGGCCGGTGGACGCTCGCCCCACCAGCACAACCGCGCGGCGCCGGCGCGCTGCATGTCGATGCTCCCAGAGAGGACAGACGCACCGTGGAGTAGAGGTCAGCGCCCGCCGGAGGGCTGCAACCGCCTCCGTCTCCGACCGGAACACGCGAGCGAATTGCTAACTCAACTCCTTCTCAGTCCGCCGCCGAATCACCTCTAGCTCAGCTTTTCTCTGCTCGTACTTTTCGATCATCGACCGCCTGTTTCTCGCCTCTTGGTCATCGCTTGTTGTAGATGGAACCAGCGGGGCATAGAGCTGATCGACCTCCTGCTCGATGGTGTCCCTCGCCAGCTCGAGCGCTTCCAGCCTCGACTGCTGCTTCATCTGCGCAAGGCTGCGCTGCTGGATCGCCGCGAGTTCCTGAGCGATTGGGGCGTGCATCAGCTGTTGTAGGCACAAAACCGCGTTGAGAAGGGCGGGAGCCCGACGCCTGATAGTCGAGCTCGCCGGCGGCCTCCGCAGCAGCAGCGACAAGACTCTCGTGCTGTGCGTGATCTTGCTGCAGCGACGCCACCTCTGCGGCCAGCCGAAGACCCGCCTGGGTGAGTGAAGAATGCGACGGCACCAACCTGGCAAACCTCTGCTCCGTCGCTTGCCGCGCCGTCTGGGCCGCCGCCAGATACTTGTAGGCGGCGTTTGTTCCCGACTGCGTTGCCGTGTCTTGCGCGGACGCTAACACGCAGAGCGCGAGGGCGGTGGCGGCACGCGCAGCAGACGACATGTAACATGCACATGGCATTTCCTCCGCGTGGGGGTGGACGTACGACGTCTCTGCGATGTGCCCCCCCTCTCCCCCCACCCAAGCCGTCGCGAGACCTCGCGGCCGCCGAGCCTGACATGCGTGGCGTGGGGGAGGATGGTGATTGATGCCCCCTAGACCCTCCCCAGGACAACCCGACACACACGACACAACACAGGCAGAAACATGCACCCATCCATGAGCTGAGGACCCAAGCCAGTGCTCAAGTGCTCAAGGCACGAGTCTTGTCGTCGGCCGTGTGGCCATGCGGCATCGACCCGCCAAATTTGGTCTGTTTCATGGACTTCCGTCGGACAGACAAAGGGCGTCTCTAGACGCTGCCGACATGTGCACAACGCAATCGGCTGGGAGACAATCGGCTGGGAGACAATCGGCAGGGAGGCTCTCTCCTCTTGCCGTGCTGCTGCTGCAAATCCTCTCGTGGTCTGAAGGTGACGACTGTGCTCAAGCGGCCCGTGACCCCCACCTCAAATTTCCGCATGGCGGCTCTGCCGATTTCCGTGGCCGCCACAGACAGCTGTACTGCTTCATATCCGCACCTGGCCTCGCGGTGAACGTAAAGACTGAGGACGCCAGCTTCAGGCTCGGGCACTTGGTGGTCGACGGGTCATTCATGACCGAAGCCCATCTGACGGGTATCGTCGGAGGGCACAAGCACAAGCATGCAGCGGTCTCCTTTTGGGCGAGTGAGTTGAACGACTTCAACACCGGCTGGAAGGTGATCAATGGCACCTGTGGAGGACGCCCCTTCACCTTTGGCCTCGGCGGACACAAGCTGTGCGACGAGCTCAACATCACCATGGGCTATTCGACGGCGCAGTGGAGAATACGTGGCTGGGTGGTCCGTGTCTCTGGAAGGCACGTATACGACCGAATCTCCGGACCAACTCATCGGCTGGACATTGGCTTCGGCGCAGATAGCTATGCAATGGCGGCGTCACCGCACGGTATTATAGGTCAAGCATTTGCGTCCGCGTCGCCGCGCGTTGGTCGGGTCGACGAATATCCATTTTCAGGCCGCTTTCGGACGGAGGCGATGGCTGAGGGTGCCATTGAAGGGGTTGCTGCGCAGTACGAAGTAGAGTCAGCATTTGCGACTCGCTTTGAGTTTTCTCGCTTTGAAGCCCTGAAGCCTCTTGGCCCGCCTCACCGCGCCTCCAAGCCTTGCAAGGGGGGAGTACCTAACAAACGCTGTGGGGGAGGTTCTCTGTTTCACGTGGGACGGCGTGCTGAGGCACATCGGCGCCGACGGTGGCGATGTCTACTCGACGGCGGCAGCGACCCGCGGGAGCGGGATCGACATGCGGTACAAAGGTGGAGCTGTCGAAATTTACGGCTACGACAGCCGAGCCGGTGGCACAGTACTCCGGTGGAAGTGGTCTTCGAGCATCTACGAGCCTGGGACGTACCGGGCATTTCATTCCTTCCTCCTCGGGCCCTGCTTGCTGCTTGACGCAGTGGCGCTGGAACGGCACGTCGTGTATGGATGGACGCCCTTCTTCGGAGACGACCCGACCACCACCATCAACTGCACTGCTGCCGATGCATGCAGTACTCCTGCGCCCGCGCCAGAGAACCTCCCCGAGTACGAAGCGGCACGGGCGCGCTCCGATGCAGACTATGCAATCCGTCTCGCACAGCGCCTGGTGGCCTCCACGGCTGCCTTTGGTATCACGAACATTCCAGGAGCGAGCACCGCCGTGGCTGCGCCACCCAGCACACCCACGCTGCCTCCGACGGTGCGCGCCTCACGTCCTTACCGAGCTCTAATCCTCTTCTACATGCGTGGAGGCTGCGACTCCTTCAACGTGCTCGTCCCGCACTCTGGCTGCGACGACAGAAATGTGGCGCAGCAGTACTTGGAGACGCGGGGTGTCGTCGCGCTAGACCCGGCTTCACTGCTCCAGATTGATGTCCCAGCGAGCAATAAACAGCCATGCACCAAGTTCGGTGTGCACCCTGAGCTACCCACGCTGCAGCAAACGTTTGCGGACGGCGAGGCGCTCTGGGTCGCCAACGTGGGTGGGATGGTGGAGCCGATGACGAAGCAGGAGTACCTGGACAAGGACCGGCAAATTCCCGCCGGGATCTTCGCTCACGACCTGATGCAGGGCGCCGCGGAATCGTTGCTGCCCCAGCATACCACGGGCGAGACTGGCATCCTGGGGCGCATCATCAAGGCGCTCTATGACCAGGCGGAGGCCGCAGGGACTGCGCCCGTCAAGGTGACTCCCTATTCCATCACAAGCTCGCGCGCGATGTTCCGCGGCAGTCCTGTCGAGCCCATCCTCCTCGACTCCAGCAAGGGGATGCTGACTTTTGGGGGATCACAGACCGCGGCCGACGCATACAATATCGAGGAGCGCGAGGCGACGATGCGCACGCTCAAGCGGCTGGCTGGAATGGAGACGGAGTCGTTGTATGCCACCAACTTCAACTCAGCAGTGCGACGGGCACTGGACGACTCTGAGGATATTGCAGCAAAGCTCGCAGATACCACCCTCACACAGAGCTGGCCGAGTGGCAGCCGCCTCATCGAGCAGCTGAAGCAGGTGTCGAAGGTCATATCGGCCCGAGAAGCGCTGAACGCAGAAGTGGACCTGTTCTACATCGCTATGGGCGGCTTCGACCATCACAGCGAGCTGCTATTGGCGATGCAAAAGGCATTTCGCGAGCACGTGGAGCCCGCTCTCTCCACCTTTGTCGCTGAGATGAAGGCGCAGGGCGTGTGGGAGAGTGTGGCCCTGCAGTCGATGTCTGAGTTTGGACGCACCTTGGACACAAACGGCGCCGGCACCGACCACGCGTGGGGCGGCAACCACTACCTGATGGGCGGCAGCGTGAACGGTGGGAACATTCGTGGCGCCTTCCCCGAGCTCAGGGTTGACGGGCCGCAGAGCCTTTCCTCCAATGCGCCCATGCTACCAACCTCGTCGTGGGAGGCGATCTGGAAGAACCTTGCCCAGTGGGTTGGCGTCGAGGACAGCCAGCTAGAGGCCGTCATGCCCAACCTGCGGAACTTCGGTAATGACAACCTGATCCCGTACGCAGACATGTTCCGTTCTTGAGTAGATTTGAGTGGAATGCAGGTGTAGCGACTGGAACTCGCATGTGTACGTACTTTTAGCTTAGGGACTTTCTAAAATTCTTTTTCACCAGGGCGTAAAAGACGCTGACCTGCCGTGAAGCTGCGGGGTCCCGCACCCCCCAGGGGCCAATATAAACATGTGTTGTATATGGAGGTCGAGGACGGCGAGAGCTGCACTGTGTGCATGAGCCACCTTTCGCACCGTTCGGAACCACCCATGCGGCCACGCGACGCTCTGCGAGCTGTGCGAAATCTCGCGAACGATTCAGTCACAGTTGAATTCTTTTTGAGAGTGCGAAATCATGACAATGAACCTGCTCCTCTTGGCGAGCGGCTTCACCCTCCCGTCCTTGCGGCGTGCATTTCCAGCTGTCGGGCCCTCGGATAGCTCGCTCGCTAGGCTTCCATCTCATCGCGTCTGCATGGCGGTCGACAAGACCAAGGAGGGCGAGTACCCGCACCCGCACGAGGACGACTACAAGTTCGGTGACATCACGCTGCGAGTGATCCGCGACATGACTGGAAACGCCGACTACCGGTTCGGCGACGGGTCCAAGGCGATCGCGTCCGCCACCACAGACGCCGCAGAGGCCGCAGCCGCAGCGGTCCTCGACGCAGGCGGCACCGCCGTCGAGGCTGGAGCGGCGGCCAAGAAGGTGCTGGACGATTCAGGGTACCAGGCGCGCGCGCTGCAGTCCTTCTCCGCTGCCCTCTCTCGCATCGCAACCACTCCAAAACTCCCGCCGCCTCAGTTTGGCGACCTGACCAAGGGCGCCATCAAGGGGTTTGAGGGCCAGGTGCGGTCCGCGACGGGCAACGAGGAATACAAATTCGGGAGCCGCCAAACTTCACTTGTTACCGCTCGCCCGTGACATGGTCCCGTAAGCGGTCGTCGCGTGTTATAGGGACATCTCCAAGACCTTGGCAAAGGGCCTGTTCGGCGCGCTCGAGAAGGGTGCGGCCGCGGCGAAGAAAAAGATCGACGACTCTCCCTGAGGGTAGAGGGAGCCGCAGCGCTGCCATCGGTCTACCCGTTCTCTGCGCGATCGTGTGTTTACTCTCTGGAGAGATGCTGTTTATTGTACTGGGCGCGCGGCGCACACGCGGCGCGCAGGTGCTCTCGTCGGACGTCGCGCGTCGTCATACCACCCCCCCCCTGCCACGAGCTCCCACCTCGATTTTGTCATCTATGTATCTCTAGACTCTACTCACAACTCTCAGAAAATAATGGACAGTACAAAAATTCTTGAAGACAGAGTCATGTAAGTCGAAAGCACTTCTTCCAGACCGCATCGAAGGCGAGCGGAGAGTCGGTAGTCTGGTCGACGTTGGCGGCGTCGATCCTCAAAGAGATGTTCACCGTCGCCTTGTGGACGGTGCACCACTGCACGAGTTGGTCGACGCTGACCGCGTTCGTCGTCGCGCGGTCCTGGAGGGTCATCGCGCCCGTCGCCGAGGGTCGTTTCGCAAAAGCGGGCAGCGGCACCTCGCTGCCGGTGACCTCCGTGCCCGGTGCGGGAGCCGCCTCGTCGTCTCGCCTACCGCGGACCAACCCAAGTCACGATTTGTCATGGGACGGTGCGAGCGAGGCCGGTAAATCCACACCGCGGGTTCCAGATGACAAATATGTCGCCCAGCTTGAGCGGCAAGGTGTACTACGCCCAAGAGCGGGTGGCGTCGGAGAGATATGTGCTCGGTTTGGGCAGAGTCCAGGTTTCCCACCATGGACGGCTGCCAGCATGGGAAAACGCTCGCCCAGGCCGAGGCTATCTGCGCGGCTGTCGACGCGCGGCTTTGCTCCGTCGATGAGCTCGCCACCGACTGCGCCAAGGGAACAGGATGCGGGCACGACTTCGGTCTCGTCTGGGCGGTAGACGTGCCACCGTCACCACCATCGCTGCCGCCGCCGGCCTTGCCACGACTGCCGTTGGCCGTGCTCGCCGTTGCCGGGTGTGGCGAGGCAATGTGCGTGCTAGCGGAGGCGCAAGGTAGCGTACGTTGCTGCAGCGACGACGATGGGAGGGGAGTCTCGGCGTGCCCTGTCGACCAGCCATATGGTGGCAATTCGCGAGCCGTTCGCGTCTCGGGGCTACCTGGCGTTTCAGGCGTCAACGATGCAACACTGCATGAAGCAGCACTGGCATGCGAGGCCCACGGGTACCGCCTGTGCGGCGTCGACGAGCTCAAGTCGAAGAGCCACGCGTGCAGCACCGGCTGCAACTACAACGACCCGACATACCTGATGTGGAGCGAGGAGGCTTGCGCGCCAGCAGAGCTACTGCTTGAAGACACGAAGGTCGCGGCCGACAGTGGCGCGCGCCTGTTCAAGAGGCCGGCGGCTAGCCTCGAGGAGTGCGCGACCTCGTGCTACAACAGGTCCGAATGTGGCTTCTTTGCCTACAAGCCGGATGGGAGGAACAACTGCATGGGCGGCCGTAGCGCGTCTGGGCACGCTCACCACCCCGGCTTCAACTTTTATAGACTACTTGCATAGCGCATGATTTTACGGCGTGTCGTACATTATTTCTTCGGTTCTGGGTATGGTACAACAAGTAATGAACCCGAATCGCGCCGCTCCGGCCTCCGCCTAGGAAGGGGCTCCGGCCGGCCGGGGCCCACCTCGGACTCGCGAGAGAGCGGAACGGCACATCGTCGCGATGCGACACCGCATGCTCACGCCCCGCACGCCTTCTTCCGCCCCTTCCCTTTGACCGGCAGCAAGATGCGCAGCAGCTGCGGCGGCGCCAGGTGCTCTTCGTCTCCGTCGTCGTACTGGACGAGGAAACCGTCCCGGGAGGAGTGCGACGCTACGGCGCCCTCGAAGCGGCCGAGGCCGGGGAAGTGCTTCGACACTCGCCGGCCGACGAGGTGCTGCGGCGCCGCGAGCGCCAGCTTGGCGAGTGCAGCCAGCGGCACGTCCTCCTCGTCGCCGTCAGAGTAGAGCACGCGGAAGAGCGAGGCGTGGTGCGAGACGACGGTGCCTGAGACCGGCGGAGGGCGGTCGAAGGCGGTAGCAGGCGGGAGAAGGCGGGAAGGCGGGAGAAGGCGGGAGAAGGCGGTCGAAGGCGGCCCCGAGAGGTGCCAAAAGAGCCGCGATCTCCCTACATCTCCCGCAGCTCTCCCCATATCTCCCGCGCCCGAGAAGGTGCCGTGGCGCGGGAAGAGCTTCCGGACGGCGAGGCCGACGAGCGCGGCGGGCGGAGGCACGTTGAAGGCGTCGGAGTCGGAGTCAAGCAGGCCGCCGCACAGGATGCCGCCGCCGCCGCCGCCGCGTGCGGCGTCTTGGCGTCGCTTGGCGCCGCGGGGCGGCGCGGAGATGGCGTGCGCCTGCGGCGGAGATGTGGGGAGATGTGGGGAGATATGGGGAGATACGGGAGATACGGGGAGACACAGGGAGATATGGGGAGATGTGGGGAGATGGGACGGTCTGCCAAGGTACCGCCTGCATTGTGACGTCTGTCAGCCACACGTTGCACCCAAACCTAATCAATAGTTCCTCGCGATTGGCGAACACCGCTCTTCTTGTTGATGGCCACGCGGTGCCGCCAGACTTGCGGTGCGGCGCGTCGACGGGGCGGGCGCAGTGCGCGACGCGCGGGTCGGCGGCGCCTAGAAAAAAGAAAAAAAACCCGGGCATCGGGCAGGAGGGAGCCCGCGCGGTGCGTCACGCACGAGTCGGCGCCGCTTTTTTCTTTTTTCTACAAGGAGGAGAGACGCGCGACTGCGTGTGCGGAAGGCGGCCGGGGAGTTGGCGGGGCGTTCGGGCGTGCGGCGCGCCGTCGGCGAACACGTTGCAAAAGACGAGGGCCGTGCCGCAGGCTGGTTGCACGGAGAGGTTGAGCTGTGGGGAGGGGAGGGGAGGGAAGGGAAGGGAAGGGAGGGCCGTGCCGCAGGCTGGTTGCACGGAGAGGTTGAGCTGTGGGGAGGGGAGGGGAGGGAAGGGAAGGGAAGGGAGGGCCGTGCCGCAGGCTGGTTGCACGGAGAGGTTGAGCTGTGGGGAGGGGAGGGGAGGGAAGGGAAGGGAAGGGAGGGCCGTGCCGCAGGCTGGTTGCACGGAGAGGTTGAGCTGTGGGGAGGGGAGGGGAGGGAAGGGAAGGGAAGGGAGGGCCGTGCCGCAGGCTGGTTGCACGGAGAGGTTGAGCTGTGGGGAGGGGAGGGGAGGGAAGGGAAGGGAAGGGAGGGCCGTGCCGCAGGCTGGTTGCACGGAGAGGTTGAGCTGTGGGGAGGGAAGGGAAGGGAAGGGAAGGGAAGGGAAGGGAAGGGAGGGCCGTGCCGCAGGCTGGTTGCACGGAGAGGTTGAGCTGTGGGGAGATGTGGGGAGATGTGGGGAGATGTGGGGAGATGTTGCACGGAGAGGTTGAGCTGTGGGGAGGGGAGGGGAGGGAAGGGAAGGGAAGGGGAGGTAGACATCTCCACACACCACACAAAGGTGGGGCAAGGGCCAGGGCAGTCCCTCGCATCTCCACGCCCGGACACACGGGCAGGAGCCGGCGCGGCATTCAGAGTGCAAGGCCCGGTGCGCGTGGGGGAGCGGACCTGTGGGAAGTCGGTGCAGCCGACGCCGCGCGGGAGCGAGTTGAGGTACACAAAGATGGTCACCAGCCGGCGGGCGCCAGGCCCGACCTCGACCTAAGGTGGGACGCCGCTCCGCATTCACAGCTAGAGGTGTGAAGAGACGCTGTTCACAGTGTGACCTCGACCTAAGGTGGGACGCCGCTCCGCATTCATCCCTGACCGCGTGATTGCCCGGCCTCGCGCCCCTCCTTGGGCGGACACCTGTTCACGGCTGGAGGTGTGAAGAGGCGCCGTTCACAGTTGTCAGGCGGTCGAGCCGGCCTCCTCCACCCGCATCCCGTCCAGCTGACTCGTGCCACCCTCCTGTACGCCGCTCTGCCGCGGCGACCGCCGCGAGCCGCTCGCGCGGGATCCCGCGCCGTCGCCACCCGCGCCGTCTCCGCCGCCGCCGCCTCCGCTGCCGCCGCTGCCGCCGCTGCCGCTACTGCCGCCGCTACCGCCGCTGCCGCCGCTACCGCCGCTGCCGCCTCCTCCACCGCCGCCTCCGCCGCCTTCGCTGCCGCTACCGCCTCCGCCGCCTCCGCCGCCTCCGCCGCCTCCGCCGCCTCCGCCGCCTCCGCCGCCTCCGCCGCCTCCGCCGCCTCCGCGTTCGGCGGCCTCGTCGTCCTCCATCGTCAGCACTCCGAGGTCGTGGTGGAGGTCGAAGCGGGCGCCCTCTGCGTATGAGACGACCTGAGATACGGGGAGATGTGGGGAGATGTGGGGAGGTGTGGGGAGATGTGGGGAGATGTGGGGAGATGTGGGGAGATGTGGGGAGATGTGGGGAGATGTGGGGAGATGTGGGGAGATATGGGGAGATATGGGGAGATGTGGGGAAGTCGGGGGAGATATGGGGAGATCGGGGAGATATGGCGAGATATGGCGAGATCGGGGGAGATACGTTGCAAGTGCAAGCAAGGCCCGGTGCGCGAAGGCACACATATACACCTCAAGCGCTTTTGCCCAGCAGAGCGAGAAGGGGAGAGCGCGCGTGTGCGCGTCTGTGTGAGTGTGTGGTGCGAGTGTGTGCGCGCGTGAGACGACCTGCAGCGGCTCGACGTGGTCCGGAGGCAAGCCGACCAAGTCGGTCGCGCGCGCCTGCTCGAAGGTTCCAAGAAGGTTCGGAGAAGGTTCCGGAAAAGTTGGCCCAGTCATATGCACAGTCGGACGCGCGCCTCGATCGCCCGGAGAGTGGCGTCCGCGCCCTTGGGGAGGATGAGGGAGAGCGACGTCCGCTCCGCCGTCAGGGCGTCGTTGCCCTCGACGTCGTCCGTGTGCGAGCGCTTGAAGGCGGCGCGCCGAGAGGTGATGAGGCGGTCGAGATGCTCGATCTCGCGCGGCGACACGAAGCGCTCGACCTTGTAGATATTGGGCGACGAGTGCAGCGGCACCAGCCGCCGCCCGCCGCCGCATGCACGCTCTTCGGCCGGCCCCGAGTGGAAGAGGCTGCGGATGCGCTCCGACTGGAGCTCGTCTCGCTTGGAGTACGTGCGCTGGCCATCCGGCAGGAACGCGTTGAGGCGGGAGACCTCTCGCTGAGAGATGGAGATCGGCATCGAGGCGCGTCTGAGGCGCACTGTCGACACACCGAGCCGCGAGTCGAGGCGCACGCCGCCTGTCGAAACCACCTGCGAGTACCCAGGCAAAACGCGGGAACAGTGCTCACGAAAAAGAATCTTACCGCAAACTCCCTCGCACAACACTGGGCACGGGACTGGCGCGCACTGGCACGAACACAGGTACACCACGGGAGCCGCCTAAGCGACTCCTGCGAGGGTGGCGAGGCACTTAGCTCCGTGCACCCGCCCACCCCCGCCACAGGCAAGCTCATTCACGACCTGCTCTGCGATGGCCGTGTGAAGAACGACTGAGATGCGCTGCTTCTGCAGCCCCAGCCAGCTCTTGGTGGTCCAAGTCACCTCATCGAGGTACTGGGCCCGCGTCAGCTTGTTCTGTAGCACGTCCGCCGCTCTCCGGAGGATCTCACGGACCCCCTTTCCGAACCCGCCGAACGATTCGAACAGCAGCAGCTGCACTTCGACGCCCTTGTCTTCCCTGGCGTAGCGATAGTCCCCGCCGTAGGACGGTATGCGGCGGTCGCCGCCCACCACCCTGCCCCCCCTGGTATGCCAGCGCCCAGTCCCTTGCCCTCTCTCGCCCTTGCTCTTCCTCTCCCCCTCCATGCCGCCCCCCCCGTACCCCTCCCCCTCCCCCCCCCCCTCCTCCTCTCCCCCCCCCTCTCCCTGCCCCCCACCTCCCTCTCCCTCCTCGCAGTAGGGCCCATGCCCCATGACCATGTTCCGGTAGAATGATTCAGTGTTGCCGAAAGCGACAAAAGCGCCCTTCCGACCGTGCTCCCCGCTGCTGCTGAGGGGACAGACGACCTTGACGTCTCCGCAATAGTGCGTGCCGTGCGAGCCAATGTTGTCCGCGTCCACGTCGGGTTGTTTGTTGTAACTCTGACCGAGGTGGGCTTTCGGCTCCATTCGCACAGCGGTGCCCCACGCGGCGCGTAGGGCGAGGATGAGGCGTCGAAGCGTGTACTTGTGTCTGGTGTTGTGGCCCTGCTGCGGTACGTTGACAGCAGCGTCGCCATACTCGTCGTGGGTCTTCCCATTCCGAGTCTTCTTGCCCGCCGCCGCGGCCTGGCAGGCCACGTCGAGGGGGAGACCCAGGCGGCGCTGCACCGAAAGACGCATCGCCCAAGTCTCCATTCGCATGTCATCCCGCATTGGGATGGCGTTGAGGAAGGCGCCGGCGCCATCCTGGCTCACCCAAAAAGAATTTTACAACGAAAAAGAATTTAAACAAAACAACTCTCTCTCACAGCACACAGGCACGAAAAAGAATATGAACAAAACAACTCTCTCTCACAGCACACAGGCTGGAGGAAGTGACAAGGGAGAGAGCGACGAGAGTGGGACGGCCGCGAGGTGGCACGAAGGTTGAAGCGAGAATCGGAGAGAGACTGCGAAGAGAGATAGGAAGAGGCAGACTCCCTAGGGTAGGCGACGGCTAGCGCATCACACTCCTCTCCTTAAAATCCCTGTGTGGTGGCGGCGTGCCGTTCTCCCATCCCTCCCTTGGGTTGTCTGTTTTCTTTCTTTTCTTTAGCACACAGGCTCGACACGAAAAAGAATTTAACGGAAAACCTTGGCGCGCGCATATCTTGGATGGCCGGCATGGGGCGTGAGGCGTCGCCCATGCTTGCCATGTGCGAGTAGATGGTAGAATGCATCAAGAGGCGCATCGCGCAAGGGGTCGGGATCGCAAGCTACGCCTTAGGCTGTACGAGGTTTTCCTCTCGCACCCCGTCTGTTTTCCTTTCCTTTTTTCTCTACAGCACCCTCTCTTTTCCTCTCTATTTTCCCGAGAAAACTCCGTGGAAATCGTCAAATTTTTGGCTCTGAGCCGAGTCTGAGGCTGGTTTGGGCCCAAAATCAGCCAAATTTTAGGCCAAATCGTCAAAATGCCGGGAATTTTGCGGAGAACCCGTGTAGACCTGGAAATTACCCTGCGACCGCCTGGGTATTTTGTCGACTCCTCAATTTTGCCTCAGATTTTGCCCCAGACCAGCTCTCAGACTCAGGGAAACTCGCGAGTTTCCAGAATGGAGCACCAAACACCCTCTGTTTTCCCTGGAAATTTCCGGCAACGCAAAGTGCTGGGGACCCTCTGTTTTCCTTTTTGTTTTCCGGAAAACCTCGTACAGGCCAAGCTACGCCCGCATCAAGCGCCGGTTCAGAGTCGTCCAGAGTCGCGGCTCACAACCCGTGGCAGGCCGTGTAGCCACTAAGATGGCCTTATGACGCCCCCTCTCTGACTTTCCTTAATGTACACGGACCTCCCGATGGCACCTTCGATATTGCTTTGTTCGTAATGCTTACGGCTGGTTCTGTGTATTTTTTACATACCGACTAATGGACAATTTTAT